TGAAAGTTTAAAATTAAAAAGATAAATTATAAAAAAATATGTATATTAAATCTATTACTTCCTCGGTCTAAAAAAGATTACCACAATTTGACTTTTTTGGCAAACTGTGTCACCCTTTGACCTGAAATTAAATATAATTTAAAATAACTAAATATTATAAAAATTTGATATTTCAAAACTATATTTTAAAATAAACTTAATTTTACTAAATTTATATTATAACTCAATATATTTTTTCCATAGTTCGCAGTCAAAAGGCGTCACAGTTTGACCAAAAAAGTCAAACTGTGATAATGTTTTAAGGACGGAGGGAGTATACTACTTTATATTAAATTATGAAGTAATTTTTACTTTTTAGGTATATAAATGAATATAAAGAATTAAAAATGCATAAGTTTTGCAAAAAGTAGATAATTTTGCAATATTATTAAAATTGTCTATTAAATATACATTTATACACAAAAAATAAGTAGTAGGAAAAAATACATAATCATAACATTATTTTTATAACATTATATTTCATAGTAAAATATATGATTTTGAAAAGCCCTTATATTAGCGGGTTGGTCAGGTTAAGTTTGAGTTCCGTCATGTTTGACCTATTTTAGCGGCTCATTTCGGATTCGGTGAACAAAACCTTTGCTCCAAATCCAATTTTTTTGGATCTGATTTTGAGTAAAAAAATAGATCAAGTCAGTTTTTGTCATGTCTACTTAGTTGGATTATTTAAGTCTTTGTCACTGCTATTGGATCGAATTTATTTCATCATTTGGTCCGTTTGGAGTCCATGTCTTTTTCACAAAAAATTGCTGGCGGGTACCCTCTATTTCTTGATAAGAATTTCCAGGTCCCATTATTTTTCTAAATATACTCCGGGGTACCTTAAATTATGTAAAAAATGACTGAGGGGTGACAATCTGTTCATGTCCCTTTTTCTTCTTCTTTCCTGTTTTTTCTTTCTTTCTCCCTCTCTTTCTTTTTTTTCTCACTTTCCAATTCCGATTA